GAATAGTTTTCGTTTAGTATTTGAGGAGTCTAAAAGCATTGAATTTTGATAATTTTGATAATTCACATAATAGTTTCCTATGACCAGAATATTTCATTGATTCTTTATGGGAGAGATGGGTCTCATGTCAGATTCGAAATCCGTCTTGTGTTAACATTACCGCCCAGGGACAGTACACTGCAGTACAAAAGATGCGTACACCTCTGAAATAACTTTCCTTGCAATATAACCATGTCTCAAAATATATAAATCCACGAAAAAAATGGTATATCTGAAAACTTTTAATTATTGTTTCGTCAAATGTTAAAGATTGAGCAACAATTTAGAGTTAAAATAGCAGATTAGCATTATTAATATCATTATTATTAACAATCAACCTACAGACAAAGCACAACGACCTGTAGGTTGAAATACAATGAAAATAGGGTAGAGTATACAGTATTTGTTCTTCACTTAGCTTTTGAAAAGCAGCGGACAATGAATGAATTCATTTACTAAATCATAATCATATTTCATGCATAAAATGTCCGTGAAATATCCATTTTAGAACAATAAGAGGGAAATTGGAAACTCTTCCCAATCAGCGAATAAACCCCCAAAATATTGAATTTTGAGTGAGGGAGGGGGGAGGGGTTGGAATTATTACAGAAAACATAAATCCCTAATAAATATTATGGATGGTAGTGTATAGGATCCATTTTAAATTTCAAAAAGGATAAGGGTCTTCAGGAGTTAAACGTATATTCAAGATTTGTTTAACAAAAAAACTAATTTTTATTTTTTCTTCTTTTTTCCCCTTATTTTGATTCTAAAAATCAATGAAACATTCAGAGATTAGGTTTTTAAAAAATCGCTCATTAGTTTACGTTTGAGTCCTGAGATTTGTGTTGTAAAAGAGATAAGTGAATTTTAGAAGGTTTTTTTTGGTATTTTCCACCTCGGATCCGGGATCCAGTCAGCCAAAAATGTTGCGGATCTGGATCCTAAGCGCTTAAGGCTGGTTTACCTTGATAGGCTTGCCACCAAGTCCTGCAATACCCTGCATAGTGGTAAGCGCTGTCTGTTGCTCAGTTTCATTTCCGAACCTGATAAATCCAAAACCTTTGCTTCCTCCACTCTCATCAAGAACCACTGAAATAAAAAGTAGGTTAGCAGGGAAAAAAAGAAACCGAGCAAGAAATTTTGGAAACATAGTCCAGCTTAACTTCATAAGTCCTCTTTTAAGTTTAGTTTTATAGTTTTGAGCTGAGGCTACGTTGCATAAATTTCCAACTCTGGTTTGAAACTAGGAAGATCTCGGGTCCAACATAATGCTTTATGATAAGAAATTTTCAGAAATATGTTTTGACTAAAAAACCTTTTTGTCGTGTGCTACTGTGGAGTCGGCCAGGGTTGGATATGAGCTCTGAAAACTGCGCCTCATTTCTTTCAATCCATGTTAAATCATTTAATTCGTAATATTTTCGAGTTTATGTACATAGGTATTTATACTAAACCTGCTGGATGCGCTTTCTATCAAATAAAACCTGTAAAAGACGGAACAAGATTAAGTTTTCAAACTAGTAAATAATCCGTTCACAATGTTATTTCAATGCTCACCTTTGGCAGATATGATGGTTTGGAAGCGAGCTGAGAAGAATTTGTAGAGCTCTAAATCGTCAACCTCCAGGGTAAGATCTCCGACCCAGATTGAGAAGTTTTTCTCTCCGGGTAGGATACGGTTTGAGTTGTGGTTTAACTTATACCTGGAGTAAACAAATCGTAATGACGGTACCATTCATGAGTATATATTTCATTATTATATACATACAGGGTGTCCCTCATCATATTAGACCGTCAACGGGTCTAAATTGCGATTTTCGGGACGAATAAGAAAATTTAATTCGAATAAATCAATTTGAAAAATAACATAAGGCTTATATAAGAATTTTCTTGCGGAAAATGATAAGTTCTTCGAGTATTAAGGGTTTATTTTGTTGTTAAAGACTAAAGATAATCTAATATGATATGGGACGCTCTGTATATCACGGTTGAAAAGATTAAATATTGGCTATTCCCCCCTCCCTAGCACAGTACATTTTGAAACTTTATCGAAGTCTTATTTCTGATTTTACCTTGCTGGGGGTCTGGAATTAGGAATAATCTTCCCGTTGAGTCTATGCATCACCATCAGTGCGATCTGATCGTTCGGGAAGTTAACAAAACCATATCCGGCAATAGCGCCGTTAAATTTATTCTTAATCACCTAAAAATTCAAATAATCATAATTTTGCCAATATTAGAAAATAAGTTTCATATTTTCTAACTTAAAAACAATGTTCACAATACTTTAAATGAGGCTATATTTACCTTTTTCTAATGTTTGAAAAGGTAAGCTTGAAAACCTGAAACTGACCATTATGAAAATGGGTTATTTTAAAAGTAAAACCGTAAATAAATTGGGTCTCTGAACTAAAAATTTAATTATTAGTAAACAAAATATGTTTTCCTAAAATTAATCATTTAGTATGAGCTTTGGAAGAAAATGTTCTTAAATAAGTTAATAATTCTTCTGGATAAAAAGTTCAAAGTTCGGACTTTTCGCACTATAACCGCAGTTCGAAAATTTTGTATACCTTCTTACCCCCCCCTCCCCCCCTACCCTATGTGGGACAAACCACCATTGCAGTTTTTGTAAAATTAATGAGAAAATTATTATAATCTAGTTATTTTGGGATTAAAATCTAGTTATTTTGGGTGCTTGTCGGTTCAGTTTTTTTCTGACGCATGCGAAATTTGAACAATTGTATAGGATACAAAAATATGGAATTTGTCCAAGTGTTATGATTATAATTGATCATAACTTCTTCTTCTTCAAACTTTTATTGAAAAAACATAACGTAAATATCTTAATAAAAAAAATCACAGGGTTAACAATTTTTAATAACAGATTTATAGAACTTACTCAAATTTTGAAAAAAAATTTGAACATAAACACTAAAATCAATTAACAATTGTCAATAATAACAGGCATTTAGAAATATATTATGTGACAATTTTATCAAAATTAACTTTAAAAGCAGAATCAAGCAAAAACATTTTACTGAGCTATTTAATATGTGACGCCCGAAAAATTCCGCTGGCAGGCTTATTCTCATATTTAATGTAAGGCACCAAAATTTCGGAAATTTTGAGGTTGATTTTAAAAGTCCTCACCTTTATTGACAGAATACTATCCTCTCCGCTTGTTCTAAATGCGTTCATGAGGAATTCTTCATCCATATATTGTTCTAATCCACCGATCCATAGTGCTCCTTCACGACTCATCGTTTTGAACTATTATTTCTGAAATTCACTCAGATCCTTAAAAAGAAATTATAATTTCCAAAATGTCAAGAAATGTTTCCTTAAATCCGGTTTTTTTTTAGGCCTTGATAGTAAATCCAAGTTTAACGGTGCAACGTTGCCTGAAATTTGATAAGGAATTTGTTTATAGTGCACTCTCTCTCCTGCCAGCAGTGTGCCAAGCGCATGCGCAGTTTATCAAACAGTTAGGGCACCTTTATCTTCATTTAAAACTAAATTTATTTAAAGAAACAAGTTTTTTATCTTTTAAATGTGTGGCAATGTATTATTGGTGTTAGTAAAAAAAAACATTTTTACTTTTTGCATATTGAAAATATGAGTGTTTTAAATTCATAAGATTTTTTTTTATAAAAGACCATCAAAAGTTTTAAAAAAATGCCGCGTTCTTCATTTAAATCAAAAATTTTAGCGGATTTTCTCCGTTGTTGTCAAAATTTACTCCAACCTAGAAGCACGTCATTCAATGTTATCAAAATTTAATGCGGCTAACCCAAATATGACTGTGCCTTCGGTTCAAATTTATCTTTGAGATTGAAATAGCAAAAAGGTAAAAGTTTAAACATTGTATTATGTGACATGTGATTGATTAAGCTTTCATGAATTGTTTGTTTTGTTTTGTTGCTCTAGTTAACTGTTATGTCGATCTAAACATTTGGTAAAATTATTTTCTAATTCAAGATGTATTTTATTTTAAAGATAGGTATATTCCTAGAGAACGATTTATACATTTTAAACTTTTTTCAGAGTTAAGATGGATCCAAGCGTTAAGACTAGTATTGAGAAAAGACTGATTGAGAGCGGAGAGAAAGAAAGACTAAAGGTACTTATCAACAATCCAATCATCCAATGTATAGGATAAATTTTTAAACAATTGATGCTTAGAGCTTTGGAGAGTGAAATTAGATAAAAATCATCTTTGTTTCTTTATTAATTGTCACATGATGCTGTACAGGGTTACCCAAAAAGTATGAAACTTCAGAGAAGATTGTATGGACTTTAAACTGTCTCGTTTTTTATATATATGATTCCCTGAAACTTATTTCGTTCCTTGCCAACTCTTTTAATAAGCCATCTAAAGGCTACATTCAGGACAAAAAAAAACCTCTTCGAATCGTTATTTTTAAGGGTTTTAGGTAGTCTTTACAGCCTCATCCTTTGTGGGTAACCCCGTGCTTCACATTAAATGGAGCTTTATAAATCTGGGGGTATAGGTTCTCCCCGCAGTACTTCATATTATGTTTGGAACAACTATTGTTATAGTTACACATTTTGAAAGATTTATTTTCCGTATTTCTGTTCATTTTGTTTGATCTTCTGATTTTCTGAACAGATGCAGGATTTTTGAATTATTTTTCTCTTTTTTTTTATTTCATTTTCTGCAACAACTGAAGGAACCACTCAAACTTTAGAATGGTGGATATCGAGATCAATGTTTGATCCCCTTTTTTTCTTAATCTCCAGATTAAATAATGCCTGTTCTTCTCTCGTTATTAATCTCCAGATCAATTAACCGGTCGGAATTAAGGACATCCTATCCCATACTAAAGTTTTTTGCTAAGGTCATTTTTGATGATCTCTATTTTTTCAACAGTTTAGATTCGAGTTTTGACAACAAAAGACTTTATTTGCAGTTTTTGGATGATATTTTGCCCCTTGGATCCGGATCCGTCGATACAGCAGGCCAACATGTTGCGGATCCGGATCCTAAGCATTAGGGGGGGGGGGGGGTATTTTGACACATCTCCCTTCCTCTTGAATAAATAAAAACTACGTTATGGTTTGTTTAGGAGCATCTTCGCTGCAGACTGAATGAGAGCGGGTGGAGGGAACAGCTAAAGCTTCATGCTAAAGAGGTATATTCGGGCATACAGTAGGGCCCACAAAACAGTGGACGACTGTGAGACTCAAAATGTATTTCTTAATTAGTCTTAACACAACATGAAACACAATAATGTTGTAATGTACAAAAAACCATTTTAATTGACAAATAAATTTTCAAACTATTGGTGTTTGCTATTTAACAACTTGAGTACACATTAAACGTTTTGCTATGACAGGTAATGAGAGATTGGTAGAATAACTCCCAATCTCTCAATGGTAAATCATGTTTCAATTTTCAAAAAAGATAATTGGGGGAAAAATATGGGAATCTTCCTTTTTATAAAGATAAATGTAAAACTTGTCCAAAATTATAAAAGGATGGATCTTAGGCATTGTTATTAGAACTATTTGACATTTTTTCTGTATAATTTGAAACATATACTTTTAGATAATTAAAGAGAAGGGAGTAGCTAATCTAACAGTAGAGGATCTGGTGAAACATATAACCCCCCTGGGACGACAAACCGTTCCCGATGTCGTCAAGAAGGAGCTCCTCGTCAAAATACAGAGCTTTCTCGCTCAGCAGCACAATATTTAAACAGCTTCCTCGCTCAGCAGCACATTATTTAAACAGCTCCCTTGCTTACCGAAAGCTGCTTAACAATTAGCTAACTTAATTAAGTTCTTGCGTTGTTGCTGATTTCTTACAATTAATTTCAACTATCAAATGTCGTTTTTTCAAATACTTATTAGCTTTGGAAAGACTTGATAAAATAAATCACCAATTTTTAGATAATATTAAAAAAAGAAAATTTTTTTAGATTATCAATGAGCTCAGAATTTTACTGTTCTCATATTTTTGAAAACTAACGATGTGTTTCTTCAACACAGTCCAATTTTTTTGTTGAATCTAGAAATTCGTTGAATTTACTTAGATCAATCCTATCATCGACTATTTTGTAAAATTTGCAGATCTGAAGAATCTTGAAACTCGAATCTAAAATATAAAATGGAGTTTGGGAAGACGCGAACTCCTCTGTTGAATGCTAAGGCTGGTGTGGCTCGAACTCCGGGCCGCAAACTCACAGTCAGGTTTGTAAATAGTCAGGGGAACATATTTTCAAAAATTTTGATTACTAACTTAAAATTTTCGAATATTCAGAAATTAAGAAAAGGAAACTAACTGTTCAACTTCAAAAGAATATCAATAACCCCATAAAATTATACAATTATTTGTTAAGAATTACCGTTTACAAAAGAAATCAATTTTTTTCAGAACGCAGATTTTATTTTTAATGTATATTTAAGGGAGCAGAGAACAGTAGCTAAACTGTATACTGGAGACAACCTGGAGTACCCTTCAGCACTCCAGATGTATGAGAGGTATTATTATGATTGTTATAATTAAACCGTATACTGGAGACAACCTGGAGTACCCTTCAGCACTCCAGATGTATGACAGGTATTATTATTTATTGTTATTGTTATTGTTATTGTTATTGTTATTGTTATTGTTATTGTTATTGTTATTGTTATTGTTATTGTTATTGTTATTGTTATTGTTATTATAGTGTCGCAAATGATTTTGCTGGGGGGAAACTAAACCTATGATTGAGAGGTTGTAAAAGAAAAAATCTACATTTTGATGTAGAATTAAAAGATTTTAAAGTGACTGTCTATGTAATTTCAAGTTATCCTCCATTTAAAAGAATGTTGAGAATATCTTTATTTCTTCATGTGTGGTCTGCTTGTGTAGCTTCAGTTCTTCTCAAATCAGCAGCCACTCCATTCTCAATAATTCTTTTCATGAGTATTTTTTGCATGCTTAACATCAGATAAAGTTAAGAACATCATTATCAGTTAGAACAAATACTGATTAAAACCAGAGTCATCATGGTCAGATACTAAAATATTTAGTCCTTCTTTCCCTTAGACAATAATACCTCTTCCTCTTCCTCCAGTAGTTTCAGTTTTATCAGTTCTTGATTCTTCCAATCTAGATAAAAAGGCGGCAGGATCTTAAAAAAATTAGAGAATGTCAAATGACTTTATCTTGACACACAATTGTTTGTCTATATTAGGGCAACCAATTTAATCTCCCATTTTAAGCTGCCATTTAATGCATTTTAAAGTCTTAAGTTTTAATTTGGGAAAGACTGTAATATTTTACTTAACTGCACAGTGTCTTTCACAAACAAATTGTAAATGTTCTCAGTACCTATTTAGGACTTTTTTAAAAAGCTTAAATTCTAAAATCAGTTGACACGGCTAACACTCGCTTGATTCTCTTCCCGGGAAAGTTCAAAGCTGGTGCGCTGGCACCCTGGGCAGCCATTCTTTCTGAAACCTCTTGTAGAAGTGAATCCAGAAAAATTAGCTTTGTCGTTTTATTCTTATAAGATTTTTAAATTGTGCTTTTGATAAAAAGGGACTTAAGTATTTAATATGTAGTAAAGGAAAAGAGGGAAATAAACAGAATTTATTGCGTTTAAGCTAAGCTAAGGTTTCCTCACTGTCGCTCAGGTGTCAAGGGTACCGTTGTGCATCGAGTCTGAAACTTATTAATCAGACATAAGGCATTCGAAATTTATTCCCCATCTTCAATAAAAAATGCGCGGAGTTATTTTATTTTTATTTTGTTGAGCTGGGGAAAATAATTGAGTTTTAGGCCACCAACTGGAGACGTATCCCTGCAAGAGTTTGAAGATTTAGCTGTCGAAAGGTTAAAAGTTTTAAGGTTAGTATTGTCTTTTTAAAAAATATTTAATTTCACATTCAGTTATGAAGTGACGGCCCCCCTGGTTGGAGTATAAAGGCAATATGAGGATCGTTTTGTATTATTCTACTTTTGCATTTTACATCAGACTAGTTTTGGATATTAAAATAACATTTTTTAAAAGGTTTCCTAGTTCACTATTGCGAAATTTAAAAACAAATCTTCGAAATTCATCGATTTGGGTATCCACTCAGCCACATTGAAACAATGAATTTAGAAATTTTTTAGTCGTAAAAATTCGTTGATAATCAAACAAATTAGAGACAAAAAAGTGATTTTTGAAACAATAATTTGGTAGAGTTTAAAAATATCGGAACAAAAGCAATTGGACTGGAAGCTTGAAACTTTTTTTAAATTAACTCTGGGATTTTGACATGCTAAATATCAATTCCGGTCACGGTTCAGTTTTTGACTTTAAAAAACTCTTGTTTTTAAAGGCAAATCCCATCTTTGTGAGAGGCCAATATTAAAAATGTCAAATTTGATCACCCTTACTGTAAAAGGGAATTCTAAACCATGGTAGCTCCTGTTATATTAGTTTGTTTTTAAGAAGTATATCGTTTTCATGATAAAAAATGACGACCCATGTCTTAAAATTAAATACTTGTATTGGGCCCTCATACTAATTTGTTTAGATTTTTAGGCAGTTAAATTCCTCTAACAACTTAATTCATTTTATTTTTATTTTTCAATAATTAAATGTTCAGGATTATTGAGAAGCATAATATGGGCGGAACTATAAAGTTTAGCAATGAATGGACGGAGAAAATAAAGGTATAACATTTTTTATTATAATGAATCCATAAACTGAATTTGTGTCGATAATAATTTTCAGTCTTATCTACAAATTGGATTCCAGCAACCGATACTTTTAATTTGAAGCGATTAAGAACTTAATCCGTGAAACACAATTAACTCGCATTTTCACGATCTCTCATTGACCAAAAGAAGATTCTGTAGTATGTTAGTTTATGTTTATGTTGTGATGTCTCCAAGTACCTTATCTAGGACTATTTTAAAGATGAATGCAGATACTTCATGATAACAAATATACTTCATTCGTAACGATTTGCCTTTTTTTGCTTTGAATTTGATCTTTTTTCGTAGATTATTAATTTTTTTAAAGGAATTTTTTCTTTTAAAGTGTTTTTCCTTCTTTCTTTCTTTTTAATACACATAAATAAACAATAAAGGGTTATATAGGGGGGGGGGCCATAAATAATTCCCTATTTTAATACACATAAATAAACAATAAAGGGTTATATAGGGGGGGGGGCCATAAATAATTCCCTATTTTAATACACATAAATAAACAATAAAGGGTTATATAAGGGGGGGGGGGGGGGGTGATAAATAATTCCCTGTTTTAATATTTGTTTCTGTGAAAACTCGTTTCTTTTACAAATTCAGAGATTTAACAAAAAAAAACTTACTTCCTTTGTTTTTATACGAGGTGTGGTAAAGGTTTTTTAGAACAAATTTTTCTCCCTGTTACTTTTATATTTATTTTATATTTAAGGCCGACTATGAAAGTAGAACATATCTTTTCAAAAAAAAATTCTTTGCTCTTATTTTCATTAAATTTTTTGCGGGAAAATAACGCTTTTTAAAAAAAATTTTGCCAAGCACGAATCTTGTTTGAAGAAACCCATTTGTTTTCAGAGAAAGACAATCTTATTCTTAACTTTTCCCATTTCTAACCCTGGTGTCAAACTAGATAGATAGATGGATAGATAGATGGATAGATAGATATTTTTAGGAAATTTAATTTCTGGCAAATCTATAAATCGTCCATACTGTAGACTCGACACTCTTCTTCCTCTAGAATTTGAACATTTTATATTCAAGCACACATCGTATGTTAGGACGATTTACATTACTTTCAAATCCCAAAGGGAATGTAGAAGTTAATTCAAGGGACCCTCCATTAAAGGAAATGTAGACGTTAATTTAAGGGACCTTCCTTTAAAGGAAATGTAGACGTTAATTCAAGGGACCCTCCATTAAAGAAAATGAAGACGTTAATTCATGGGACCCTCCATTAAAGGGAATGAAGAAAGACTTTAATTCAAGGGACCCTCCATTAAAGGAAATGAAGACGTTATTTCAAGGGACCCTTCATTAATGGAAATGAAGACGTTATTTCAAGGGACCCTCCATTAAAGAAAATGAAGACGTTAATTCATGGGACCCTCCATTAAAGGGAATGAAGAAAGACTTTATTTCAAGGGACCCTCCATTAAAGAAAATGAAGACGCTTTTTCAAGGGACCCTTCATAAAAGGAAATGTAGACGTTAATTCAAGGGACCCTCCATTAAAGGAAATGAAGACGTTATTTCAAGGGACCCTTCATTAAAGAAAATGAAGACGTTAATTCATGGGACCCTCCATTAAAGGGAATGAAGAAAGACTTTATTTCAAGGGACCCTCCATTAAAGGAAATGAAGACTTTATTTCAAGGGACCCTACATTAAAGGAAATGTAGACGTTAATTCAAGGGACCCTCCATTAAAGGAAATGAAGACGTTAAATCAAGGGATCCTCCATTAAAGGAAATGAAGAAGTTAATTCAAGGGACCCTCCATTAAAGAAAATGAAGACGTTAATTCAAGGGACCCTCCATTAAAGAAAATGAAGACGTTAATTCATGGGACCCTCCATTAAAGGGAATGAAGACGTTTATTTAAGGGACCCTCCATTAAGAAGAAATAGTGGCATGTTCATTTCACAACTGTATCTTTTTTACCTCTGTTTGAGTAACTATCGAAAGGAATGCTAAATTCTCTTAAATCACGTAATAAAGCACAAATGCGCATTGCGCAAGTTACTTTTATAGAGAAACAGTGCAGTTAAAAATAACCAATTTATAAAAAAGTAATAGGGATATCTCATTGTTTAACGAATGGTACAGTTGTGAATTGGATTTGACTCGTTTCTTATGGCGGTTCATTTGAATCCGATTGATTGATTAGGAGGAGATTGATTGATTGATTAGGAGGAGATTGATTGATTGATTGATTAGGAGGAGATTGATTGATTGATTAGGAGGAGATTGATTGATTAGGAGAAGATTGATTGATTGATTAGGAGGAGATTGAATGATTGATTTATTAGGAGGAGTTGGATAAGCTGAATCTAAGTGGATACTATGATCTAGCAAACACTATTGGTCTTCAGCAGAAGATTAAACATATTGAGAACAGAAGAACTGATCATGTCTCCCACTTCATTCTTAGACTAGCGTACTGCAGGTATACATTATACAACTGAACTAGTGTACTACAGGTATGCAAATAGACTACTAGACTAGCGTACTGCACGTATACAACTAGACTAGCGTACTGCAGGTATACAAATAGACTAGCGTACTGCAGGTATACAACTAGACTAGCATACTGCAGGTATACAACTAGATTAGCGTACTGCAGGCATACAACTAGACTAGCGTACTGCAGGTATACAACTAGACTAGCGTACTGCAGGTATACAACTAGACTAGCGTACTGCAGGTATACAACTAGACTAGCGTACTGCAGGTATACAAATAGACTAGCGTACTGCAGGTATACAAATAGACTAGCGTACTGCAGGTATACAACTAGAATAGCGTACTGCAGGCATACAACTAGACTAGCGTACTGCAGGTATACAACTAGACTAGCGTACAGCAGGTATACAACTAGGCTATCGCACTGCAGGTAAACAACTAGACTAGCGTACTGCAGGTATACAACAAGACTACAAGGTTACCCAAAAATAGGATAAGACATTAGGACGAAATCTATTCATAATAGGGATAATTTTAGAATTTTTCTATTAAAGGTTTCTAGCAATTTAATTTTTCCAAATAATATTAAAGATTTAAAAGACTTTTTTTAAATGAAATACCAAATTCAATCTTCAAGTTATCATATCTAAGGGATTTTAGGTGTTTATTAAAGTCTTATCCTGTGTGGGTTACCCTTATAAATAAAATTAGAAAAGATTAAATTAGCGTACTTGATTATTTTTATTTCTTATAATAATAACAAATGTACTATATTTAGGTCGGACGAGCTCCGCAGATGGTTTGTTACTCATGAAACAGATTTGTTTAGATTCAGATGGAAAATGTTGTTCAAGGTATATTTTATTTGCCGTAGGATTTGCCAAATAGAAGGATTTGCCAAATAGGAGGATGTGCCAAATAGAAGGATTTGCCAAATAGTAGGATTTGCCAAATAGAAGNGACCAATTTTCCATTTTTTGAGGTTTATTTAATGTTTATGACGGCTGGAAACCTCAAATATGAACCTATAATAGTATTTAGGAGAATGGAGGTCTATTAAATGAGTTTATGACGGCTGGAAACCTCCAATATGAACATATAATAATATTTAGGAGAATGGAGGTCTATTGAATGAGTTTATGACTGCTGGAAACCTCCAATATGAACCTATATCTGCTGAGGAGAAAGCTGAACTAGGAGAAGATCTGCTCAAGGGAACAGGACGCGGGGTTTCAGGGCATAAAATAGCATACGAGGATTTCTTCAAGGTAAGACTTCAATTATTGGTAGTTTTTCACAACCTTTTTTCTTCAGCCATAATATTTTCTTTTTTAAGCCCTTCCTGTAGAGGTTACATTCCCAATGGCTCCAATCAAAGTAAAGAGTTATGTTACATTTTTTATACACAACGTTACCCCTTAAATATTCCTCTGATTAACATATAAGATATCGTCATTTTCCATCTTTAAAAAGTGATCAATTATGCCAATTTCTTTCCTTCTTATGCGGCATGAATCTGCAAGTTATTTAATAATTTAGATTAAAAGGCAAAGGTTTTACAAATTGTGCTTGTTCCTCTTTAATCGTAGGATGTTTTAAAACTATGTTTACGGTCACTTCAAAATTTTTTATTATCTCTTAAATTTTTATATTTGTTTTGACCTAAGGAAATTGCAAATTGTATCTACTAGCTTGAGCACCCAGCCTTGCACAGGGGGTCATTGTTAGTCCTACTGATTACCCGCGCTTTGTCGTAAATTACGATATTAACTATTTTCCCGATAAAACTCCCCTAAACTTTGAATCTCAAAACCAGGCTAAGAAAATAATTTCCGTGGGTCTCCCAAGTTCCCCATTCAAATTGTGAGGCAAATTGGTCCAGGGGTTCCTGAGTTATACTCGGACATACAAACAAACAAAACAGACAAACGTGGTTGCAACTTTATATTTAATACCTAGGTACCTTGGTTGGAAGCTGTGGATCTGGTTCGTGCTCGACGTGTCCTAGTTCGAAGTGGGTTCGCCTATATCCCAAAGGATGAACTCATGTCCCTGGTGGTTGGTGTATTCAGGTCTAAGCTGAATCACAACCTGGTTCTAACCTGCCGTGCTCTCCCTGTCCTGGAGGAGGACAAGCGTCTAGTAGGACTACTCAACAACCTAGATAAACGGTATACCGGAGAAGATTTCGGATCTAACAAGACCGGAGAGCGAATACTTCCTCACATGGTGGCGGGACTTAGTGATACACATTTCCCCGCCTGTATGCAGTCCTTACAGCACAGTCTTACCACCACACACCATCTCAAGTACAAGAGCAGGCTCCAGTACGGATTGTTCCTCAAGGGAATCGGTATGAGCTTGGAGGACGCGATCAAGTTCTGGCGCGGGGAATTTATCAAACAGGGCTCCGTGGACGTGGATAAGTTTGAGAAGGAATACGCCTACGGTATCCGGTACAACTACGGAAAGGAGGGGAAGAAGAAGAACTGGCAGCCCTGGGATTGTATGCGTATTATTATGGAGAATGTCGGAGCTGGAGAGAACCATGGTTGTCCTTTCCGTCATCACGAGGGGAAAATATTGCGTAAGGAGTTGGAGTCCGGGAAGCTTAAGGACGCGGATGTTGACGCGATTATGCGTAAAGTCGGCGAAGGACACTTCCAGGTAGCGTGCGGTATGCATTTTTCTGCCCTTCACGCGCGCGATTTAAGCACCGGGATCGCAAACCATCCAAATCAATGGTATCTGGAGTCGAGAAATATGTTGCAAAATCTTGGTGGTGCAAACAAAAGCAACATTAAGACTACGCACGTCACCATGTACGCAAGCCAGAGTAGTCAACCGTCTTCTGCCGAGAGTAAGATGGACGATTCGTCATATCTGGATTCCTTGGACGATACCGAACTCCTAGCAGTGCTAGACTCTTGAAAGTGTTCGTCTGGACTCTATGTATGTATTAAAGAGACTGTGGACGTAATTTAAGTTAATCTTCGAGGAATGTGATATCATAATTTTCCGAACTGATAATTTCCGAACTCAAGCTCCAGTTTGAGAACTAAGGATATCGTTGTCCAGCTTGATCTAAGTTTTTCAAGATATCGTTGTAAAACGGACATGCTACTCGACAAAAGAAGGTTTACTTGTAAACATGTTTACAGTCCCTTTAAACATAATTTGTAAGTTTATATTTCTAATCATAGTCTTATTCACAGAAGACATATTCAAATATACAATACGCTTATCAATATTCCATGTATTGTTAGAAATAATAATGATATTCTATATAATTTTTGTGTGTTTATTAGTTCATAGATAATATTCACTACAAATACACTGATCAGTGAACAAAAATGAATATTCAATAAATAAATATCTGGGTTTTCCTTGACTTTTATACTGACCTCAATTGATTGACCTCCATTTTCACCTTAAGATAGACAGCGAGGTTAAGGTCCTTTGATAACAATTTTCATCTTGATTCATGAAGGTACCAAAGTCTTCCATCTTATTTTTAGTTTCCTTTGTTATGTGAGAAAGGCCCTGTTAAAAATATTAGTTAAAATTCTGTTAAAAACAAAAACAATTCTATATTATTAACCCCTATTACAACCATCTTCGTGCGAAATTTCGAAAGCCTCAAAAATCTTTTAATTTTTCACAGAAGAACCACCGATAGTTGAAATCTTTATAGTTAATTACTAATATGTTATTTATATTTTTCCCCTGAAATACAACATTTATTTTTTTCCCAAAAATCATATACTTTCCCTAATTGAGCGAAATATAAAACCTATTAAAATCAAATTCGTAATGATATTTCAAGAAATTTTACATCCCTGAACAATAAAGAAATTTTACATTTCTGAACAATAAGGAAATTTTACATCCCTGAACAATAAAGAAAATTTACATTTCTGAACAATAAAGAAAATTTATATTCATGAACAATTAAGAAATTTTACATTCCTGAACAATAAAGAGAATTTATATTCATGAACAATAAAGAAAATTTACATTTCTGAACAAAAAAGAAAATTTATATTCATGAACAAAAAAGAAAATTTAAATTTCTGAACAATAAAGAAATGTTACATCCCTGAACAAAAAAAGAAAGTTTACATTTCTGAACAATAAAGAAATGAAAGAAGATCACTACATCCTTGATAAAGACCTTGTGGGTTCACTGTATCTTATGGATTTCTTTAAAAAAAAAACTCCCGAACTAGAGAACTTAGTTTTTTTGTTTTTTTTAATAGCTTCAAAGATTTTGGTTTCATCTGGATCAGAGATGGTGTTTTGTCCAGTTCCAGGGGTTATCTGTCCAAGATTTAATGAAGTGTATGTAACACGATATTTTAACGAGTTTTTGAAATCTTTCATTTACATCAGATTTTTATGAAATTTTTATATGCAGTAAAATATATTTTCCCACCAGTTTCTGAAAAAGTTCTTTTTTTCCAAAAAAGGTTGCGGATTTTTTTCCTCCATGTAACAAATATTTTAATATTTAACTTGAACTCTGAAGATAAAGTTGTATATTGAAGAAACAAAGCTTATTCCGATTTACTCACACTATATAGTGGAAGTGACGAGAAGCGCCCTGAATCCAAGAATAACTAATATAAAGGGGTCAGAGACTACATGGCCAATGCCTACATTGCCTAGAGGTTCTAGGAGGAAGGGATAATGTTCTGAACAATATTATATTCTCTTTGAAGAACAATACTGACCATGAAATCCAATCTACACATTACACTAACTATTGCTTCTCTACAAATCCAAGGGGCAAAATATTAACACAACATTTTTTTCTCAAATCCCAAATCTCAGCTGGAAAGAAAAGATAGATTATTATAAATTTGCTTATCTCCTAATGGTTCATCAAAGTTATCATAAATATAAGCGGGAAAATAAATTTGAAAATTTGTTTTAAAAAATCGGTAATCTTGAAGAAATGTTTTAGACCTGGATCCGCATTCATTTTTTCAGGGTGGATCCGGGATCCGGATCCACATTTAAAAGTAATGGATCCTAAGCACCGGTATATCATCATCCCGTGCCTGTAACTATTAAAAAGCTTGGAATAAAATCATGTACAAATGTATGATGGGCGAACGTTTAAACAATGGAATGGTTGGGAGAATCCAACTTCTGTTTAGGAAGAAATTAATCTTTCTGGAAGATTCGATCTTCAGGGTTACTCACAAAGGATAGGAGTTTAATGAGGACCTGAAACTCTCATAGTAGATTTCTGAACTTTGAAGGTCGAACTCGTTGAACAGAGCCTTTGAATAATTAGTTAGTTAATTTGCAAGTAACAAAGGTCCGATAAGCGTGATTTCCAGTAGACCTTCATACAAAGATGGCAATGTCCGATTCACAATGGTACCTTTAAAACCTTTATCTGATCAATGTAGAAAATATTGTCGATTTTCTAGGTTTAATCGTGTTTCACTCCGATAATTCCTAAATGTTTCCCATGAAGTAGAAATGCGCAAGCCATTTTGTAGAAACCAAAGTCCGAATTTAAGCCGAGTCTCAAACATTTAAACATTGATTTTTATAATTCATATTTATTCAGACAATACTTTTAAGGGTTCCGTTGTTAATATCTAAGAGATGTTATATAGAGAACTCTGAAGTTGCATCCTTTGTGGGTGAGACTGTATTATGAAAAGAAATGGAACAATTATTTTGGGTTTTTAAAAACAATTTCATTTTCATCATAAACGTTTAATTTGTCATTGATTAACAAATTTAGAACAACTGTAGATACAATTCTAATGTTTATACATAAAAAAAAGTTGGGGAAATTTAAATAAAAATTAAATGATTTGACAATAAATGAGATTTCAGATTTTATAAAATGGATCATTTTTTAGACACCCTGTATGACTGTTGGAGGAAAAGAATATAAAATGGCTAGAAGCATGTGATTGTGTGGGGGGGGGGGGTCTGTGAATGAAACACTATGGATGGATTTATTCTAAGATTTGCATATGAAAGAATTTTGTGATAGCTGGCATATACGTTGTATTCACTATACAATGTACAATATGCATACATATTACATATATACATATATTTTTCCCTGTCATTTTTCATATACAGTAAGACCCGTAAGCCTGTGGAATGGAAAAACAACATTTCAGCAATATTGTGTATACCTGATGTAGTAAAAAAAAACTAATAATTTTACTACGGTGGTAGGCGATTATATTATTACAATGAAGACAACTTTTGTATTTAAGTTTTAATTGTTAACAAGTTTTTTTCGAATTACAAGCATTATTAATAAAAACCATTCTAAATCTACAGCTTCTATTTGTTTCCATGTTTTTGTGTATCCATGTTGTTTTAAAGCTTGATTTAAATCAAAATTAAAATCGAAAGTCGTCTTCATTTTATTTATATAATCGCCTACCACGTATTAAATTGAAAAATAATTTATAAAGGTCTGTTTACATTGCTCCATTGCTAGATCCAGAACTTGAGTCTAACAGTCGTCTTTTTTTCCACAGTTTTATGAGTCTATATCCTATAGTATACGATTATGTACATTAAAATGTTTATGTTTGGGGCGTAACAAGTACTTTTACTAAATTGAATCATTAATAAAAAGGTTTAGCATGGCTAATATGAGAATTCCACAAATATAAGGTTGTAAAAACCTCCCTAAGATCATACCAGAATGGCTACTAAATTTGTACCATTCCGACCTTTTCCTTTTCCTTCCGCTCTATTCAGCTTTATATGAATATTTCATTAAAAGTACGACATTTAAAAATGTAAAGTCTGAGGTCAAAACGTGAAAAAGAGCACTAATCTGCAATGCTTGTCTAGGTATTCACTGTGATAACTTTTAAACGAGATGGTGCTTCTCCTAACCCATGGTAATATTGTTCCGTATTAATTACTTCCCTTGACTGTATTTGTACTTAATCGGCAGCTTTCGTTCAGAAACATATTCAAGGGGCACAGAAACTTAATATTTTTAAATTAACACACTTTTATTTAAAAATAAGAATTTATTAATTAAACATATGTGTAAAATTTGCAAAAATTTTATACTTCTCTGTATCTTTTAGGTATGAACTTGGTGTTATCTATTCTTTTACTTCTCTGTATCTTTTAGGTATAAATTTGATTTTATCTATATAGCTTATGGTATAAAGATTTCAAAGGCGAAAAGCGCTTGAAGTTTTTAATCAAGTTGTGCAAACAGAAATTGGCAAAGTAACTGAGAATTCGCCACAAATTTGCAACCTGATTTTATAAACATTTTAAACTTATTGGATCTAGTATAGTTTATAGTCTACGAAAATAGGATGTTTCAAAGTTATAGGGATTAGAAAATTCGAATCAATAAATTTTCTAAAAGATCTTTTCACATATATTTTTCATCGTAAGGACATTATTAAATTCGTTTTTCAAACAACTAAAAACTGTCTATCCCTAATTATAGCACGATATTACTTTATGTTACTGTTATAATGAAATTCGCCACGCAGTGAGCATGAATGATAAAGTACACTATGGTTTAATTAAAAATAAGTTAATACTCTAATAAACTTTTTATTTCAACTATATATTTATATATATAAAGTGGTTATACTAGTGAATATCCTCTGATATAGAACTATAGTTGGAGAAACAACTTCGTTTCTGTCTTCGCAGATCTATTTCCTTAGCACTGAATCTAAACACATCAAAAAATGAAATATTTTGAACAAAATTATAAAAAGTTCAAAAGAAAAATATTTCAATTAACAGAGCTTTCTTTGAGGGTCACACGTATTTTTTTATTGCAATATTTAGGCAGTAATAAAATTTGTTTAAAGGGATTGATGTAAAATCTGATATGACCTTCCATTTAACAAATTGAAGACAACTGTATTCTTTACCTTTGACTGAAAAAAATTATTGAAACATTCTTGTTTTTAAAATTAAAATTGAAAATTTTCAATTGTGACTTCTCTTAAAGAGACTTAACTTTGCGCATTTTCAACAATTATATACACTGACAATACTGTACTGTACATACAGATATTAACTGACATGTACCTGTAAAGCAAAGCGTAATAATGTGCATAAACATAATAACATGTATCGATAAACTGCAATACTCCAATTCTCGTGAGTGTACTGCAAATCACTGCAGTACACACCGAGAGCTTAGTTGAGGTAGAGAAAAACGGGACAGTAACCATGTAAACCGCCCCCTTTTTGTAGTGAAATCAATCTATGTAGTGATGGGACTTCATTTGTTTGTTTTTCTAGAATTATCTAGAAATATCTAGGCGTACATCATTACGTTGCAAAGAAATATGGATTAAAAAAGACCCCAAATTCTCAGATTGTTGTGTAATCTTTTAAAGGTTCAGAAACTCTAAAAAAAACGTTTAAAATAAACAAACTAATTGCCAAACACTAACTTGTTGTACCTTGGTGTACGGTCTGCCACAAACTTGTTGAGCATAGTGTAGGATACAGAGTACTTGGTCTCCTCCTTGTCGTACGCTACACAGGTGTGCTCAAACCTGTACCCCCACAATATCTCGTTGGGGAGGTAGGAACTTCGAACCTAGAAAGAAAAAGTTATGCGGGATCTAAAAGATTATCAAGTACAATAGGTGGCAACAGAAAAATGGACCAACTGTACATGACGTCACAAGTGTCAAATATAACAAGGAACACAACATTTTCTCCCATTAGTTGACTTTTTTTCCAAGATCAAATAAAAGTGTAAAACAGAAAATAAAGAACAAAATTACACTTATTTAACTGTAAAATAAGCACTTTAGTATCACTATATCAAACTAGTTTTGTCGAACACATAAAACTGTTGACACTTGTGACGTAAGAATACAGCTGTACTGAGAGTGTACAAATTCTTCTTTGCCTTCTATTGTACTTGATAATCTATTTGATTGCGGTACCAACATTTAGTCACAAAGAGATTGCCTGAAAAGCCAGGACATTACTTCAACCAAATTTTCCAAGTCTTGGGTCTAACTTTGAACATTGGAGTTGAAACTAAAGTATTTAGACTTAAAGGGAGTGACCGGCTATGTAAGGTATAGTTGAACTGAGTATGCAGTGTTGTGGAAAACTTCTTTCGGATTCATTTGAGACATATAAAACTTTTTAAAGATCTGTAAATCCTGAATTTGAGGCAAATTCGACGTTCAAAACTCCTACTTTGGGGGTGGATACGTTTTCAGAATTAGTTTTTTAAATTAGTAAATAACGACAACGAAAAATAAAGTAAAATTTATACAGTAATCTAATTACATGGTTAGGAACATATTTCTCAAAAGAAATTTGTCAATAAATCTATGCTAAAATCGATTATTTCGTTTTCATTATTATATTGAATTTCTTATCTTCTTTTTATTTATTCGCAAATTTCTTCTAACTCTTCAAATGTCGTCTTTTCATTAACAATTCTAGAAAATCTGCGAAAATATTTATGAATAATGAGAAAATAGAAACTAATAATTGAACAAAATTAATTATTTTCGATGATAAAAGTAATTTTTATTTTCTTAACATGTTCCTATACATGAAGTCTGTAGTTTGTTGTAGAACTTTTTTTACATTTTATGTCGTCGTTATTTAATAATTTAAAAAAACTAATTCTGAAAACGTATCCACCCCCAAAGAAGGAGGTTTGAACGTCGAATTTGCGCTCAAACTCAGGATTTACAGATCTTTAAAAAGTGTAATATGTCTCAAATAAATCCGAAAGAAGTTTTCCACAACACTGCCTTACATAGCCGGTCACTCCCTTTAAGACAAAGCTTTGATGTCGTAGACCTATGATATTTAAAACTATGACCTGTGCCAGATCATCTAGTCATAGTTTGAAATTTCAAAGGTTTACTTCCATCAGGTTGCAATAAAGTTTTTTAAATTTCAATATGACATATATATCACGTCTTAAGAAATATGACTCCTAGAAAAAAAGTAATTAAAAAGGAGATAGCTTGTCACTGCAATGAAAAAGTCTGACATGAAATCTACTTTTTTAACTCTCTGGGCTTTTAAAATAGAGAGAAAATTTCATCTTCTGCTTTGAGCAAATATTATTGGGTTTAAAATTAAATTAAAAAACTTGTTTAAGTTTTTTAAACTTTTTGACTAGAATTTGGAAAATTACTCATGGCCGCCTTCCCTCTCTCGTTCCGCCATTAATGTTCAAACGTTTTTAATGGTTCATCATACTTAAAAGCTTCAGGAAAGTTTGCGTTAGGCCTTAATTGGACCCAAATTGGAAACTAGATACAATTGGAAACCCTGGCTAATACAGTCATAACCAGAAAACTGTGGAATAGGAAGACGACATTATAACATTTCTGAAGTGAATTTGATCTTGAAAGTTATTAAATTACTTGTTGAGTAAAATGGGTCTATTTACACAATTGCTGTGTCTCATGTTCAATGTGCTATTAAAAGTCATATCTTGAGTTTAAAAGTCGAATACCTATTCCAGAGTTTTCCCTGGTGATCACTGTATATATTATGCAGATAATAATATATGAAAAAAAATATAAATATTCTCTTAAAGGTTCATTATTGTTTATTTGTCTATCTATCTATCTATCTATCTATCTATCTATCTATCTATATCTTGTCGTTTGTTTACATTACTGATTCTGGTATTGTATAAACAATGAATGTGAAAGTTCTCTATATATTGTAGATAAATAAATGCTAAAAAATACAAAATAAACAAAATATTTAGTCTTTTTATCTTAGTAGTAATCATATAAAAGTTTTACATGAGTGAGTGAGTAGGTGAGTAAGTGAGTTATTAGGTTATTGAAGAGGTATATGAGAGAGTAAGTGGGTGAGTAAGTAATTTGTTATACTGCACTGGCAGCCGTAGTACATTTGAATTTCCGAGCCGGGTCAACCTTTCCGGTCCCAGTTTGTCGCCCAGACATTAGGTAAATAAGGCAGACACTCAATAGGACTAGCCGGTGCAACAAGGTTGACTCGGTCAGACATTAGGTTGAATTTACTTTTACTAAAGGGTCATAGGTGCGTGATACATATATCAAAGGAGGCAAATCGTAAAGGGGTTCAATAGTTATGATCGGACATACAAACATGGATGAATACTTATTTTATATATATAGGGGGAAAGATTCATTTTTAGCATTTTGAAAATTGTGAATGAAAAGATTGCAGTTGCATTAATTTTTTAGTTGCATTAAATTCTAATTTATTGGTTCAGAATAGACATCAAACACATGACGAACTATGATTGGATCAGGCGCTAATGGACTCGGCATACATGAGTGACAGTTTGTTTATAACGCTATAGATATATATTTATGAGCAATGTACAAATATTTACAAATCTCTGTATTTGTAGAGCACAAGAGCTTTCTAATGATGTATCATTTGTCATATTTGGACATAAAACATGGGATTTAGAGGGGGGGGTCAAATATCCTGGTTTTCAAGTACCCCAGCAGGGATAGGGTTAAGAGACATTTCATTCAAAGAGAGAAATGCGCGATTTACTACGATATACAACCTTTGTATAATCGATTATGTGGAAGATAAAATCGTTTTTATTGTAATTTCAAGAGACATTTCATTCAAAAAAAGACATGCGCGATTTACTACGATACACTTCCAACCTTATATAATCGATTATGTGGAAGATAAAATCGTTTTATTGTAATTTCAAGAGACATTTCATTCAAAGAGAGACATGCGCAATTTACTACGATATACAACCTTTATATGATCGATTATGTGGAAGATAACATCGTTTTTATTGTAATTTCAAAAGACCTTTCATTCAAAGAGATACATGCGCGATTTACTACGATACACTTCCAACCTTTATATAATCGATTATGTGGAAGATAACAACCTTTTAATTGTAATTTCGAGGGACATTTCATTCAAAGAGAGGCATGCGCGATTTACTACGATATAAACCTTTATATAATCGATTATGTGGAACATCGTTTTTATTATTATTGTATTTTCAAGGGACCTTTCATTCAAAAAGAGACATGCGCGATTTACTACGATATACAACCTTTATATGATCGATTATGTGGAACATCGTTTTTATTATTATTGTAACTTCAAGGGACCTTTCATTCAAAGAGAGACATGCGCGATTTACTACGATATACAACCTTTATATGATCGATTATGTGGAAGATAACATCGTTTTTATTGTTATTGTAATTTCAAGAGACCTTTCATTCAAAGAGAGATATGCGCGATTTACTACGATACACTTCCAACCTTTATATAATCGATTATGTGGAAGATAACATCGTGTTTATTGTAATTTTAAGGGACATTTCATTCAAAGAGGGACATGCGCGATTTACTACGATTCACTTCCAACCTTTATATGATCGATGTGGAAGATATTTTGAAAAGTGTTTAAATCTTTCTAGAGCAGAAATTAAAGACTTTTATCAATTGTTTCAATTTTCGTATTGCCTTTTATCTTTTTCTTTTTTGGTGGCTTCTGTTTCAGAAACAATTGAGGAAATTGTTATAACTTTACAAGTCGGAAAAACTACGATAGTATTCACATCATTGATAATTAAGAGGGTACCATTGTTAATTGTACATGCCCCCATGATTAATAAATTTTATCTCTAACGATGCGAAGTCCAATTCAGCTTGGCCGCATTTTATTGAATAAAATAAATAGCTTATCAAAATTTAAAAACTTTAATCACTGAGTTGAATTTGGCTTCGATGTTCAAAAAATTTTATTAAATACAAAATTGAGATCTCTTAATTTTGCCTCTTTAGATTTAGGATTGTTTAAAAGTAAAGATATCTAAAAAGAAGCAAAAAGCCCAGCTCTACCAGGATCCAGCTCTTGGAATACGAATATATCTTGATCAAACAGTCTTCAATATTAGACTCCATAAACACCTTTTAGAACTAGTATTTTTATACGTTTGTCTTATGTTGTTTAGCATTAAAACCACCTTTACCACTTTTTCCTACATTATTTTATTTTAAGAAACACTTTTAGGACCTTGTCTTACGTTATTCTATTGTAAAACACTTTTATTACTTTGTCTTGCGTTATTTTATCTTAAAGGGAGTGTTCGCGAAAAATGAAAGGGGGTATAGGCTTACGGCGAAAAATAAGTGCTTTTGATCGCTACTAATCTTACTTCTATATGATGCGTCTATAAGGAGAAATTTGTTGGAAACGACTTATACCGAAGAACGCAGCGTCCATACAAATTCAGAAAATAATCAATTTAATTCCAAACAAATCATTCAGATATTACAAACAGTAGTCATCGATTACTTTTCGACGCGTTCGTATAAAGTTAATATTTCATAATATTTTTGCTTTGGTTTTTTTAAAAATAATATTCGCTGGCGCTGGATTTTCGAACATTTCTTGAAAATATGAAAATGTCGTCTTCATTATCAAAAATCCTCGAAACAGCAATAAATATTTTCAAAAGTAACTCTCAGATCATGAAAAAAAAAAATATTATGAAATATCAGCTATATAGGAATGTTTCGAAAAATTATCGATGATTATTGGTTGTAATATCTGAATGGTTTGTTTGGAATTAAATTGATTTTTTACGATCCGAGACGTAAATTGCAATTTTCTGAATTTGTATGGACGCTACGTTCTTCAGCATAAGTCGTTTTTAACAATTTTTTCCTTATAGACGCAACAGATAGAAGTAAGATTAGTAGCGATCAAAAGCGCTTATTTTTCGCCGTAAGCCTAAACCACCTTCCATTTTTTTGCGAAAACTCCCTTTTTGAAACAATTTTAAAACTTTGTTTTACGTTATTTGATCTTAAAAAAAACATTTAACACTCTGTCTTGTAAAATTTTTATTCAATATTGAATTAAATGAATTTTAAACACTTTAGCTGAAGTGGTTTTATTTTGAAAAATATTTTATATAAAAGCTGCTTCACTCTTAGTTTTAAGTCATTTACTTTTAAAATTAAAGTCCTTAGAACACTCCATTAAACTTTATTTTTCATGCTTTGTCTTAATTTGTTTGAATGGGTATAGTTTTTTTTATAAAACTAGCTTGTTCACATTTCGTTTTACGTTATTTTCTCTTAATATAAAATTCTATTAAAAAGTATTGTTTTGGAATCTGATCTATTAACCTTTCGATCCACAGGAACTTTGATCTTAAAAGTATTCTGATCTATAGAGAATTAGATATATAAGATGTAGAAATTGATGTAAAATATTTTTTTTATATCTAAGTCTACACTTTTAAAAACAAAATCGGAATTTAATCTAAAATCTCTAGAATTTGCTAAACATTTTTTTTCGAAAATCAAAAATCTAAAAATTTAACTTTATTCTTACCTTATTTCCTTTGAATGAACTAGATCCAAATAAAAGCTTATTATAATCCTTGTTATAGTAATTCTAATTAATATATTCGGTTCAGTTCTGGAATTAGCTTGATTGAAAACACACATCATTAAATAAGTTATATGTATACGCAGTCCAAAAAATTTGGATTTTTTTTATAGAGTTATAATGTTTAAGACTAAAATAATGTTATTATCAAAGAGCACAAATATTTTTAGAACAATGAAAAAAAATTCACGAACATTTTTTTGTTTTTCTTCTGAAATTTATAAAAAACATATTCTAACTTTTTTATTCCAAAATAATTAAAAGATATTTTGCCACATGAAAGAGACATATCAAAAAATCTGCGAAAAGTTGAAAGTTTAAATCTACAGTATGCATTCACCCGATTATCCTTTAATTATTTTGTAAATGTGGCCTTACCAAAATTCCGTTAAATGTATCTTTTAAGTCTGATAATATGAATAATATGTGTAATCTCAAATATATGATTAAGTGCTGTATCGTATTGTAAAAAGAAAACGTTTTAGAAAATTAAATATGCTTATAATATTAAGCTCTGTATGAAATTTACGCCAAATTGGAGATGATCATTTCCTTAATTGTCAAAAATTGTTCCTTCCGTTGTAAAGTGGCATGATACGAGCCGGTACATGTACATGTACAGTATATGCATTCGTACTATCCAGTCTGAACTACCCAGTGTAAATCACGTTTTATGCAACAAATGTAGTTTTGCAAGATCACAGTATCCACGACATTGTAAATGTTGGTTCATTTCAAGTACCGGACTATCAGCAGCAAAAACAAGCTGTACTGTACACACAGAGGTTATACTAAGAAGCAAAACGGGGCAGTACACTACAAGAGGTATAGTAGGTCAAATTAAAATGCAACATAATGACACGACTTTGTGACCTCGTAGCTCCTCCAGTATTGATTTATCGCAAAAGGATGAAAAAAGGAAATTATGACTAGCTCTTCAAAAAACGGAGTTATGATTTAAAACAGATAAATTTCAATCTTGTGTGCAATTTACTTTAGTTTGATGTGAGTACACCAAATGAATTATCTCCTTCTAGAGAGCGCACTTGTCGCGTCGATTTACAAGAAAGAAAGAGATTATTGTATATTTTAGGATTAGTTTAGGTTAAGACACTTTCCGGCCCGAGCGCACCGGCTAGGTGCAGGCTAGGGGGCCTAACGCTGCGGCTGGGACAGGCTATTGGGCTGAGCGCCGCGGCTAGAACAGGCTCTCTCCTTGTATTGTAATTTTCACACGGCATGCGTGCGTAAGTACTTTGATTTTTTATTCTAACCTGAATTTGGTTTCCGGTTTCCTGAGTGGTTCCGTCCAGCGTAACAATGATTTCGAACTGTTTGGACAGAATGTCTCTTGGAGCAAGATCATACAGGGGGGACATCTCATCAATTCTGACAATTACAGGGTGGGGTTTTTCAAACGCTAATAACTCATTCATTTTTAAAGATATCTATGTTCTCTAACAAGCTAATAAAAGATAAGATTGGCACTTTTGATAATTTATGAAACGTGAATGCTAAATAAGAAAAATTTAAGATTTTTTCGATAAATGTTCGAAATGCCCACCATCTTTCCGGTAGCAAATTTTGACTCTATCTTTGAAATTGTCAGCGAAACGAAACAGGGTATCTCTTGAAATCTGGGATGCATATTTCTTAATGACTCTTTGAGAGCATGATTACATGCAAAAATGTATGTTACGCTTTGAATGAATTTGAATGCATTTTTTATTAGCTTTTGCGAGAACTCAGATATCTTTAAAAATAATGAAGTTATTAGCGTTTTACAATACGATCTACACAGTTTTAAAATTAGGCATAAATCCATAGCACCGTATTTATTTGAAGAGACTAAGATATTAATATTAACTATATAATAGAGGACAAGAGACCAACACATTAATATTACCTATGACAGAGGACAAGAGACCAAAACATTAATATTAACTATGAGAGAGTACAAGAGACCAAACATTAATATTACCTATGAGAGAGGACAAGAGACCAAAACATTAACATTACCTATGAGAGAGGACAAGAGACCAAAACATTAATATTACCTATATAATAGAGGACAAGAGATCAAAACATTAATACTACCTATAATAGAGGACAAGAGACCAAAACATTAACATTACTTATGAGAGAGGACAAGAGACCAAAACATTAATATTACCTATAAAATAGAGGACAAGAGACCAAAACATTAACATTACTATACTACTGATTAGGATAAAAAACTATTTTTTTGCCGCAATGTTTTGATTTTCTGCTTTTTGTTTTTAGAATTATATGTTTGATTATACACTTTTTAATTCAAATAACAAAAATTCTGGTTGACAAAAAGTTCTGCCCAAAATATTCAATTTGCTAGGGTTTTGAATAAAAGATAATTGTGAATGAATGCAATCTTCTATATTACGGTATTTGATTTTGTGATTTTGAAGAAGAAAAATATGAATAATATATCCTACCTCCCCTTCTTCTGTAGATTCTTTTTTAACAAAATGACCTTGAACTTGGCATCCGATAAGATGCGCCTGCCTAAATAATAAGAAAATAAGATAAGATGTGCATGCCTAAATGATAAGAAAATAAGATAAGATGTGCCTACCTAAATGATAAGAAAATAAAATAAGATGTGCCTGCCTAAATAATAAGAAAATAAGATAAGATGTGCCTGCCAATGATAAGAAAATAAGATAAGATGTGCCTGCCTAAATAATAAGAAAATAAGTAAAGATGTGCCTGCCAAAATAATAAGAAAATAAGATAAGATGTGCCTGCCAATGATAAGAAAATAAGATAAGATGTGCCTGCCTAAATAATAAGAAAATAAGATAAGATGTGCCTGCCTAAATAATAAGAAAATAAGATAAGATGTGCCTTCCTTATTAAAAAGAAAATAAGATCAGATGTGCCTGCTTAAAAATAAGAAATAACCAGATATTACCAATTTTGTAGACACAAACGATATTCAAGACATTTTTATTTTTGTATTTATATAATGCTGTTGTTTAAAGCAAATAGTTTTACCGGCAGCTTAACCATCAACTTATTAGTTGAAAATGGACTCTGTACACTGCACAATTGCTGTACTTTTTAAAATTAGAATATTTAAAATCATAACAATTTAGACTGTTTGGTCGAGAGTCCAAAGTTTTAAGTTGGGTCTCATATAACTCTTTAGCTAATATTTTGGAATCCGTAATTTTTAACATTGTAACCTAATAATAATATCTCCTATGCGTCAAAGAAGATAGAGAGCCCCGTTACGCATTTAATGTTGTCACCTGATATCCCCTATGCGTATCAGAAGATAGAGGGCGCCATTACGCATCGTTATCAATGCATTCTTGCTGAACAGAATTGTTTCTCCTCTAGAAAAAAATTGATAAAAAAATGATATTTCTCATAAAAAGGAATATCTTAACAATTTGGTTGAGGACTTGAGACTGGTATGTGACATTTGAAATGGTTTGCTGCATTCATTTGACAACCAACATGATTTTGTAATTTCTTTCATGAAACTTTAATTACAAAATTGTCATAATCGTTTCATTTCCAAAATGTGGTCTGCCTTTTTATGTGCTTTCGTAATTTCATAATTACCAGAGACATAAATGATTTCCTTCAGAATCAGACACTCTTGGTTTTCTTTAATAAATTGAAATCTGAGCAAATTCTTCCTATATCTCATAAGTTTAAAAGCAATACAATTGGCAACACACACTTGAAAAATGGGCACACTGTTTTATGTCAATTTATGCCATCAGCTGTCTCAAAAAACATGGCTAACAAAAGTTACATCCTTTGTGGGTAACTCTGTAACTTAAAAATTGATGGCAACATAAGATATTTTAATTATTTCAAAAATTGAATTGTAAAAAAACAAACTTTTTATCGCCGTCAACTTCAAAACTTTAAAATATACATCATGAAAAATCTATTGAAAAAAAGTATATAATATTACCTATTTGTAGGCTTGGTAAACTTGGCAAATACTATTCCTGCCATACACGCCTAAATAAAAAAAAATAAAAAACCAGATACTATTCATAGATAAGTTTAAGAGTTTTGAAAGAAAGTTTTAAGTTTTAACAGCTTTTTTAGTAATGCACAATGCTAAAAAATCACTTCTACAATGAAAGCCATGTCATATGTGCATCTGTAAAATATGGAGACGACTTATAAAATCAAGTTTCAAAAAGTCCAATAACATGAAAAACAGCAAAACATTAAGAATCCGTTTAATATCTACCTGGATTACAACCCCAACAATGCTCTGCAACGACATGACAATGACAGCAACAGCACACTGCTCAGTTGTTGCTCTCCCGCCAAACCTAGGATTATCTTAACTTTGAAGCCTGACAACAATCCAAGATGACAAATCTAATTGAAAATTGAACGCTCGATAAGTTTGTTTCTATTACATTTTGCAAAATTATTACTCTGCCAAAAGATATCAAGCTAAATGATTTTTCATTAGAGGATTAGTAATTTGATAAATTAAAAAAAGTTTGGTTAATATTTTTCAGAAAATGCATAATGTTATAAAAACAAACTTAAAGAATATCAGAGTTTGCTTCTGCTAAACATTTCTTGTGTTTTTAAAACACATTTAAAGCCAAACAACCTTGAACGTGTAAACACGGATCTCAAGACGATGCCCATTTCTAAGGAAAAGCCGTTAAATAAATCAATATCATTAGTTGTAGAAGTAGTAGTTTAGTACAAGTAGTAGTAGCAATAGTAGTCGTGTAGTAAAGTAGTATTAGTACATAGTGATCATAGTAGTATAATACTATAGTAATAATAATTAATTGTGAAAAATTGTATGTTTTATAACCGTATCAATGGTTTTAGTATAGTAGTGTATAAAGTAATAGTTGAAAAGGAGTATTGGTACATAGTAGTATATATAGTAATTAGTGGTATTGTGGTAATCCTAATGGTATAGTAGTAGTAGCAGTTAGTGGTATTAGAAGTAATTCTTATGGTATTGATTGTTAAAGTAACATTTAGTGGTATTAGAAGTAATTCTAATGATATTGATTCTTAAAGTAACATTTAGTGGTATTAGAAGTAATCCTAAATGGTATTAGTAGTAGTAGTATTTAATAGTATTAGAAGTAATCCTAATGGTATTGGTAGTAGTAGTATTTAATAGTATTAGAAGTAATCCTAATGGTATTAGTAGTAGTAGTATTTAATAGTATTAGAAGTAATCCTAATAATAGTAGTAGTAGTAGTATAACTGTGATATATTTTTCTAATGATTTAAAACCTACCCAATAGTATGTTGTAACTCCAAGCTGAAGAGAAAGCAGGATGTAAAATCCTTCAAATTGTCGACGCAGACAATATGATCATCTGGTCTAAAAAGTAAATATCTACATATTGTTCACACAGACAATATAATCATCTGATCTAAAAAGTAAATATCTATATATCGTCAACACAGACAATATGATCATCATGGTCTTATCAGTAAATATCTATATATTGTCCACACAGACAATTTGATCATCTGATCTAAACAGTAATTATCTAAAAAACTATTTTTGAAAATTTGATTTGGAAATGAATTATTAATAGACTTATTTTGCGCTCATTGAGTAAAATTAATAATTCATTTTAAAACTAATGAACTGTCTATAACCATTAAATTTAATCACGTTCTAAAAAGAAAAAGAAAAATTTCTTTTTTACTTCTTGAAACTTAAACTAGAGTTTAAAACGATTAATCTTTCGTTATAAATAGAAATACCTTCCAAATACAATCTATATTGCTTAAATAATTATAAATAAAATTTTTTTTTAAATGAAGTAGACAGTTAACATTAAAAAGAACGTTGCAAAACTTAAAGAGACATAGGTAAACACTTTTGAGAGAAATAGCGCTAATCTGCAACACTTGATCTTAATATCCACTTTAAATTTCAGAATAATGCGCTTAATATCATAATTTATCTCTGATAATGATTACTGATATTTACATCTTTTAACACTCCAAATGCAGTACACTTGTCCACTGCAAATTAACTAGAAGGAGAAGGTCAATTTCAATTGACATTACTGTCACAGCTTTGTGACTCCATTGCTCCTCTAGTTCTGATTTTACGCACAAGTGTAAGAAAAGCTAATTTATTTGGTTTCATATTAGAAATTCAAAACTTTTTTGGTCTTTTCAATATCTCTTCAATAAGAGAAGTTATGATAAAAAACATATAAGTTATCAATCTTACTTGCATTTTACTTTAGTTTGACGTGTGTCAAGTACACGTTCATGAAAACAATGGAACAGAAAGTGTATTTTCATGCCCCTAAATGTACTTTTAAACCCCGATCTTGTTTGGGATTAAAAAAGCAATTTGGACCCCTGAGCCCGAAATTTAAAAGAGTATCGTTGAACGAAACTCCCGAGTTTCATATTTGGGGTCTTAACATTTGTGTGGATTTTTATTAAAGAGATTCGAAAAAAAATTGAGAATATTTAAAAACTAAATAAAATAATATTTCATTACAAAAATATTGATATCCACAAAACTGCCTCACCCCATTCGTGAAACTCGAGTTTTAAAACTGGTTTTCATACCCTGTCTTAAGTTTTGGGCTCTGAGTCGGGCGCTGAACGAAACACCAATTTCCTTTTTCGGGGTCTATACATTTGCGTAGATTTTAATTTGAGAAATCAGAAAAGAAAAAGTTTTCTGGTTATCACTGTATAATATACATTTTCAGTATTTTACAAAATAAAAAAGATTCGCTTAATAATTCTTTTTAAAAATCATCTTAAAATCATCATTTTTTTAAATTCAAATTTCGACCAGCATTTGCTCTGCTAAACTTTATTACAATAATAGTATAAAATAAAAATTTATTTCATGTTATAGGCGCTCGATCTTATCCTTCTTAAAACCAGGTTTTGGATTACAAAGTGTGTACAAAAAAAGTTAAGTCTGCACAAAAAAAAACAATTTTAACTTTCAGGGTAAAGAATTGATCTTTATTTGATCAAAAGTCTAATTTAAATAAAAAGTAATCTCCTATATTATCTTTTAAGGTAATTTAGCACAATCATATCTAGCTTGCTTCTCGACTGAGGTTGTATTTTTGTTTAGAAATGTTGGAAGGACACCCTGCCTGACGTCAGAAGATTTTATCTTGTAAAATGTTGATGCAAAACCTGACAGGAGTGTACTTAACTAGACTTCTGGCCAATATCTATATATATATATATACTTGTTTAAAGGGACTAAAGAAGTAATTTGTAGCGACCTTCAATTTAAAAAAGGTTGCTAACTTGGCATGCCTGATGCACAACGGTTTCTCTCAACTTTTGTCTGATCAAGAGATTTTTTTATCTTTACAGCTGAAAATCACTGTAAAAAGTAACTTGCGCATTTATGCTCTAGAATGAATGGAGGATATTGTGAGAATTAAACACTTTTTAAGCAGAAAAAAACCAACATCTTCTACATTATTGATTTTAAATCCTTCGTCCATGGAAATGCCACTTTTAAAGGTTGGTTTGCTCGAAATTACGTCCACAGTCCCTTTATTAGACTTCTGGGTAATAAATACTTGTTTAAGCAAGCACCACCATTTTGTCTTTATTACGGGAACTTAGGGAGATAATTTAGATTTAACCAAGGATGTAATGCAAGGAAAGTTATTTCTTTTGAACTGCAGTCTACTGTCTCTGGGCGATAATGTAAACACAAGACGGATGTCGAAGCCTGACAAGGGATCCATCTTTCACATAAAAAAATCACTGAAATATTCTGTTCATAGGAAACTATTATGTGAATTATCAAAATTATCAAAATCTAATGCTTTTAACCTCCTCGGATACTAACGAACACTGATGCATCTATTTTTGTTTACAAATTCCGCCCAAAGAGAACTGGTTCAATATGTACGCAGAGGTATACACGACCGCAATTGGCTTTCCTTGCATTACACCCTTGGATTTAACCAGAGTCTATAAACTAAATAAACGATGATGGATTCATTTATCATTCATGTTCAGTTTATGGTAAATTTTATAAAGTGCTATAAAGTGTGCTATGTTATAGGACGGTGCTACAGGGTGTCCCAATAAACATGGGAATTGAGTGACGCATTCGATATCGTCTGTTTAAGTAATTCTTTGATTTAGTATAGTGATACCTACTGAGAAAGCTGTAATCTGTAAGAATTTCTTCTGCTATGTTTACATTTTGTTTGTTTATGTTTTGACTTCATACGGTTGTACTTAGTAAAACAAGAAAATTGCAGTATACAAACAGAGTAAACTTGTCCGTCTTCACTGTTCATCTTGCAGAGACATTATAGACACATCTTTACAGTCTTTTACCCTTTTAATAAAATAAACTCTAGTAGACATTATAATATTATGGCTTTTGAAGTTAGGTATTACAATGCTAATTCATAACAAAGACGATATCGAATTCGTCACTGAATTCCCATGTTTTTTGGGACACCCTGTATCTTGTATTTAGAGAATATCTTTTTCAACTTTAATAAGGATAACATTGAATTTTAATTATGTTTTTATGATACTTGTTATATATCTAGAAATATATAACACAAATCAGAACAAGTGCATACATCTCAAGATTACCTTTAACAATATGCACTCGGAACAAAATTATCTCTTCATCTTTGCACCCTGATGTTTAATAATTCAAGGCAATCGTCACATTTTAAAGTTATTGACCAACCCCCAAAATAACAATTTATGAAAAAAATGTTTTATGCGGCTGACAAAAGCGTTTGGTTCAAGATTTTTTTTTACAAATTTGATTTATTAATTCCCCATTTTGTTATAGCTTACATTCCCGGCTGATGAATATAAAAATTATTTTATTTTTAAAATTCCATTTGCTTCGCCTGCTAAACATGCAGCATACAAATCATATATTAAAAAGACTTTCAGATAAAAAATTAAGCTGACGAAAACCGGTTTTTCTGAAAATTGAATAATTCACCAAAGCAAGAAACTCCGAAATCAGAATCGTAAAAATCCGTTTTTAATAAAAAGTTGGAGAGAAAACTAATTATAAGATGCAGATTAATGGGACTCGAACTATCTCGTAAATATCGAAAATAAAAACGGAACTATTTTTCCTTCAAAATCTAAATTCTTCCTTTATACATATATTTAGATTTTTATGCTCCGTTACGATTAAAAATCGACCTTCCTTATGTAATATATATAATAGGGGTGTGAAATCTAGTGAAACTTTTCTAAAATCATTTTACAGAAGCAAAATAGTATTCCACTTGGAATTCTAAGGCAGTTTATAAAATACATTTTTCACAAAATTCAAAAATGTGCCCCTAAAATAGGTATCCATTGAACCAGCTTGAAAACTGAGGTTCAAAACAATTTACAGAATTGAATAATATTAAAAATTGGGCAAGTATGGTCAAAAATAGTTTTTTTTATTTGAATAAATTTCATTATAGTACTTAAAAAATGTCTGTTTTGACCTTACTAAGTCAAATTTCAATATTCTTCAATTCTGTAAATTGATTTGAATTCATAAATTCAATTCGGTTCCAATGATAATTCAATAAGTATTTCAAAATTTTTATTATCACTTATTCTAGTGACTTTTTTAATATTAACCCCTATTTGAGGGGCACATTTTTGATTTTTGTGAAAAATATATTTTATAAACATGTCTTAATATTCCTAGTAGAATACTTTTTTGCTTCTGTTAAAATGTACCAAACAAATTTCTCACCCTTAATGTATAATAACACTGTTATACAGTATACACTGTACAGTGTACATACCTATCTTCATCTAGATCTCCATGTACAATAACAATTATGTACCAGATGACCGCAAAGAACAGCCATGAGAAGAAGAATGAGGCTGCAAAACTGAAGAAAGTCCAAGACCAGGTTAAATCTATCATGGAGGTGAAGAAATCTTTCAGAAACCTGAAAACAAAATAATTGAGTTATTGCAACATAATAAAATTTTCTTTTCCCTTTTTCTTTGCAAGCTAATGGCGTAAACCTTTGACATTTCAACCCTATTTCATCTAACCGAATTTGTATCTACGACTTGGTTGAAAAAATGTATGGATAAAAAAATCAGAGTTTGTAGCAAGAACTCAGTTTCTTAAATGAAAAGTAAGAGGAAGTAGTTGACATAGGTAGACGAAGTTGAACCACTTCTCTTCAGCTTGGACTTGTTGTTCAACTTAACTTAGTTCAATTACTTCTTTATTCATTAAATTTTGTCCCGAATATATTAAAATATTAGCCATAGGTTAAATTAACCAGAGTTTTCAGCTGACCCCTGAAAAAAGTACAAGGTATAAAGTTATTTAAAAGATGTTAACCTATGCCCTTCCACAATCTCATCAGCTTTCTTATAGGTGTTTAGTCTCCCGTGTTTACTCACAACTCTATTCTTCTTCGTCTAAAATATTATTTCATTAAAGGGGTAATCTTAAAGGAAGTGTTCGCCAAAAATAAAAGGTGGTGTAGGCTTACGGCGAAAAATAATCGCAATTTGGCTCAGTAACATTTCAACATATAACAACTCGCTAACTACATTTCGCCACATAACAACTTGCCATATAACATTTCTAGATAAAATAACAACTCGCCATATAAAAACAAAAAATTTGTGGATTTGCTGGCATTTACACTATAATTTAATTTAAAAATTTATGTATAAGCGGGTTGTTGTTAAGTGGCGAAATGTTAAACTTAGGCGAGTTGTTACTTAGGCAAGTTATTATATGGCGAGTTGATACATGGCGAAATGTTATATGGCGAAATGTTGTATGGCGAGATGTTACTGAGCCATGCAATTTTTATTGCAACCAATCTTGCTTCTATCTGTTGCGTCTATAAGGCGAAAATTGTTAAAAACGACTTATACTAAGAACGTAGTGTCCATACAAATTCAGAAAGGAATTGAGTCTTTGCCACAAACTTTGATTTTATATTCACTATATCTTTGGAACCATATGTTGCAGACCTTAGATATTTCAAACTATGAATTCTGTTAGATCAAATAGCCTGAGTTTGAAATATCAAAGGTTTACAACATCTAGTAAATATATTGAGGTTTAAATATTTGATTTTGTTCCGAAGACTCAATTCCTTTGCAATATATAACTCAGATCGTAAAAAAATCAATTTGATTTTAAGCAAATCATTCAGATATTACAATCAATAGTTATCGATTTTTTTTCGAAGCATTCATGTATAGTTAATATTTCATAATATTTTTTATTCGTTTTGTATACAATACACTTAAAACGCCGGAATAGTTGGCCGCCAGATGTCTAGATGCTTTGAAGAGACACCTAGCGGAAAAAGTCGTTTTAAGTGCATTGTATATAAAATAAATAACAAATATTATGAAATATTAACTATATACAAATGCGCCAAAAAATAATCGATGACAATAGGCATAAGATATTTTAGTTATTGAGCGTTTATTTCGGATAATTCCCAAATATTTTCTAAAGTATAAAGGGGCGGGTCACTTTTGTACTGAAATCCTGATTGAAAATAATTATTTTTCAAAATTAGAAATATGTCTATCTAAATCATGCTTGATCAGACAAACCCTTTAAGGCTACATTTTTGAATTGCCTTCTTTGCACAGAACGCCATTTAGTACGCGTACAGTCCCCTGAAAGGACATTTAGTACGCGTACAGTCCCCTGAAAGGACATTTAGTACGCGTACAGTCCCCTGAAAGGACATTTAGTACGCGTACAGTCCCCTGAAAGGACATTTAGTACGCTTACAGTCCCCTGAAAGAACATTTAGTACGCGTACAGTCCCCTGAAAGGACATTTAGTACGCGTAAAGTCCCCTTAAAGGACATTTAGTACGCGTACAGTCCCCTGAAAGGACATTTAGTACGCGTACAGTGCCCTGAAAGGACATTTAGTACGCGTACAGTGCCCTGAAAGGACATTTAGTACGCGTACAGTGCCCTGAAAGGACATTTAGTACATGTACAGTCCCCTGAAAGGACATTTAGTAAACGTACAGTCCCCTGAAAGGACATTTAGTACGCGTACAGTCCCCTGAAAGGACATTTAGTACGCGTACAGTGCCCTGAAAGGACATTTAGTACGCGTACAGTCCCCTGAAAGGACATTTAGTACGCGTACAGTGCCCTGAAAGGACATTTAGTGCGCTTACAGTGCCCTGAAAGGACATTTAGTACGCGTACAGTCCCCTAAAAAGGACATTTAGTACGCGTACAGTCCCCTGAAAGGACATTTAGTATGCTTACAGCCCCCCTGAAAGGCATTTAGTACGCTTACAGTCCCCTAAACGAACATTTAATACGTTTACAGCCCCCTGAAAGGACATTTAGTACTTACGGTCCCCTGAAAGGAAATGTAGTACGCTTACAGTCCTCTAAAAGGACATTTAGTACGCGGACAGTCTCTGAAAGGAAATTTCGTACGCGTACAATCTCCTGAAAGGACATTTAGTACGCTTACGGTCTCCTGAAAGGACATTTAGTACGCTTACAGTCTCCTGAAAGGACATCTAGTACGCTTACAGTCTCCTGAAAGGACATTTAGTACGCATAAAGTCTCCTGAAAGGACATTTAGTACGCTTACAGTCTCCTGAAAGGACATTTAGTACGCTTACAGCCTCCTGAAAGGACATTTAGTACGCTTACGGTCTCCTGAAAGGACATTTAGATTCCACCTCTTTTTCACCACATGTCACCCACACTCAAATCAGATTTAATTATGTCCACGAAAAGTTTTTAATGAATTTGGGCTGGGTGGCCGGTTGAACTTCTGCTGGTTTAAATCCTGAACTACCGATTCAAAGTTAAAGATTTATGAAGGATTGTAATCGATGATTCAAACTTGAACCGGCAGTAGGCAGTTTAAATTCATTAAATTCGGCCCTTGGGTCCCTGATTTCTCAGACTATAGCTCTCAGTAAGATTTTAATTTCTTATTTTCTCCATGCACCCCGATATACAGGGTTATCCACAAAGGATGAGACTGTAAAGACGAACTACAACTATTCAAATATGACAATTCAAAGGTTTAATAATCCACTGTGAATATCGTCTTTAAATTGCATATTTAATGATTTGAAAGAAGTAATTATAGTTGCATGGAAATCATAAATGTAAATTCCAAATAGTAATCTCTGAAGTCGCATCCTTTGTGTAGTAACCCTGTTTATTGAGTGCATTATTTGTAGGGTTTCCAATGCAAGTGGATTTTACTTGCGCGCAATATTGCGAGCTCTGTAATTCCGCACAATTCTGCAATTCTGAGCAATTTCGCATAATACTATTCCACGAAATTCCGCGCAACAAAATACCGATTGGAAACTCTAGTTATTTCTCTGAATTAAAACATGACAGCATTGTCATCTAAATTCGTCATTGTTTCACAATATTCATAAAAAACAATATATTTAGGGGGAGGGTGGAGGTTGGTAGAAAATATTCATAAAACAATATATTCTTTGTGACTCCATTGCTCCTCTAGTTCTGATTTTATGCACAAGTGTATGAAAAACAAATTTAGTCGCATACAAATAATGAAAAACAAATTTAGNTACTTTGAAATCAATTTTAATATAACATGACTCCATTATAATATTTTTATTGATCTTAGGTATCAAACAACTGAACAAATAATGGAAAAAGACATTCTAAACTATTCATCAACTGTCATGTTTCGTGGGACACCATGTATTAAAACAAGTTGAGAGACGACTTAAATGTCGTCTTTGATCTTTGAATAGCTACGCAAGGACTAATAAGGTTGAAAGACTTGAAATCTTTTTCGTACACCACACCACGATATGAAAGTTTATAAACCATTTTTTGTATAAATCTTGTCATAAGAGATAGCTGTCGACGGTATGCAGAAATATATATTTAAGTTTTTAAGTTCACATTTTTTATTAAAAAAGAATTATACTTAACATAATGTTTCACGTCTATCATGACGATCCTCAGTAGTTAAAATTCTTTGATATATACATATATATATATATATATATACAAACATATATATAATTAAGTTTTTAACTTCACATTTTATTAAAAAAGAATATATATATATATATATATATATATATATACTAAAATAGTAAAAATGCACAAAATGTTAAAAAAAATTTGTTCTAAAATTAAAATGGAACAAACAAATTCAAAAAATATTTGAGTAACATTAAAAAAAATTGGTTTCACAGTTTTTTTTTCAATGTTTCAAAAATAATTTGAAATGTTTTGGTCAAATTTAGTGTTTTAATGCCTGAAATATGAAGCACACTAAATTTTTGAAAAGTTTGTGCAAAACATCGCTAATCCTGTATTATTTTTTGACTCAACCTTGAATTTCCAAATGTGCAATTTCCCAAGCGGTAACTAGCCAAATCTGACCTAGCCGCAGCGCTAGGCCCTCACCTGTTCTAGCCGCGGCTCTCGGCCCCCTAGCCCATCCTAGCCGCAGGGCTCGGCCCCCATTGCCTGATCTAACTTTAGGGAAGTTGCCATTTGGGAAATTGCATATTTGGGAAGTTTCCACTTGGGAAGTCGCTCTCGGGAAAATGCCTTTGGGAAAGTACCTAAACCCCAATATTAGCAAGTATTATGAGGAAAGAGCTTTATCATGAAAAAAATGCTAAGTAATTACCGGTTCTTATTGTCTTCTACAAATGATCCCAGGGGTCTACCAAAGAAAGCTGAAGTTGTGACAAAAGCATCAACATCTAGATCTTCAGCAACCTAAAGAAACATCATTTTTGGGGGGAGTTATGCTAGCCTTTTAAGGAGCTTTGACTGCCATAAACATTCCTTGGGGTTATGTGAGTTTCCAAAAAAATGTGGGCCTGATCGGTTCTGTCGTTTTGACGTTTAATATTGAATACAAACAAACAGTCAGACAGACACGCAAATTCAACATAAGGTGAAAAGATTAAATTTTATTTTTACAAACAATTTGTTTCTCAAAAGAAGAAAAATAATGAAAGTTATAGAAACCGGCAAAAATCAGTTTAGTTTTACAATTTTTAAAATGATTTTTTAATATGATGTTTTTTGTTATAAAACTATGTGAGTGTGAGACATGATAATCAAAATTTAATTCTTCACATACATTTTTTACAACAAAATGATTTGATACTATATTTTACAATAGAAAAGTTCTGATTTTTACTTTGCATCCCGTTGTGATGTATGAAAGTTGGAAGTTTCAACCCTTAAAGGGAGTGACCGGCTATGTAAGGTAGTTGAACTGAGGACGCAGTGTTGTGGAAAACTTCTTTAGGATTCATTTGAGACATATTTCACTTTTTAAAAGTCTGTAAATCCTGAGTTTGAGCGCAAATTCAACGTTCAAAACTCCTAATTTGGGGGTGGATACGCTTTCAGAATTAGTTTTTTTAAAATTATTAATTAACGACGACATAAAATGTAAAAATATTCTACAATAAACTACAGACGTCATGTTTAGGAATAATTTTTACTTTATTTTTCGTTGTCGTTATTTAATAATTAAAAAAAAATAATTCTGAAAGTGTATCCACCCCCAAATCAGGAGTTTTGAACGTCGAATTTGCGCTCAAACTCAGGATTTACAGATCTTTAAAAAGTGAAATATGTCTCAAATGAATCCTAAAGAAGTTTTCGACAACACTGCATACTCAGTTCAATTACCTTACATAGCCGGTCACTCCCTTTAAAGGGACTGCAGTAAAGGAAAAATGAAAGGGGGTTTAGGCTAAAACCAGAGCATTTCAAGAGTTGATCGAGACCTGTAAGAGTTCTATTTGATGTTCCTGTCTCGAGAAATTATCAAAGTTATACCTAAACATATATATGTAAGATTTGGTATAATAGTCTAAGTTTTAAACAAATCATATTCTGCAAATGCGCAACCAATCTATTAACGAGGTTTGCTCGCATTATTATTTAAATTTAACAATTTTTCATTTTTAATAGATATTTGATAACATAATTAATACGTCCGTATCACGTGACCAGAACTCCCGGTAGTGACAATGCAGTATACATTGTCACGTAATACGGACAGGAATATCAGATATATCTCTTTCAGGTTTTGATCAACTCTTGAAATGCTCAGGTTTCAGCCAAAACCCCCTTTCATTTCTTCTTCACAGTCCCAATTTAAAGGGACTGTGGTTGTAATTTCAAGTGACTTGACCCTCCATTTAGAGGTGATCGTCGTTTTTCCCTTTGAAAAAGTGTTAAAGTCTGACCACTATTTAAAATAATTAATTTTCAACGTGAAATGCATGGATTTGTTATTTATTCTAAAAATGCAAAAATTTCTTATTACCGTTGTGAATCCCACATGCTACTCTACAAATGGAGGATCACTTGAAAATAAGTATTTACTAAATAGTCCCTTTAATATCCAAACAAAGGAATTAAGTCTTTTCACAAACTCTGATTTTTTAATCCCCATTATCTTTGCAACCCTTTGTCGTAGACCTATGATATTTTAAACTATGAATTATGGTACATTAAATTATCAACCATCAGGTAGCAAAGATATAAGGATTAGAAAAGTTGAGATATTCACTTTACCGGAAATCTTCAGCCAAGGTTGAATAGTTGCTGTATTAAATAAGTTTTTTCCGCTGATTTTTTTTAGATTATCAATAGTAAATATGAAGAACAGGCGTGAATAACTTATTTGGGGTGTGGGGTGTTATTCCTATCCAACGATACTTAAGCCCCCCCACCTCTGTGGACAAATTCATATATACGACCCTGCCTGAAACCTACCTCCTTGATATTCCCCTGGCTATCTAGCATGGTGATGAACCCCTGGCTGCTGGTGTGCCCTGCCTCCTTGTTCTGCTCCCTGATGATGGATGAGTCCACCGAGACCGTTGTGTCATTCCTTGTAAACTTGTGACGTCCAGTCTCCTCATTCACATCCTTGTCAAATCTTTTAATTTGTTTCAAGAGGTGGGAACGGTTGTATTGTGGATATTTCGTTAATCTGCAGATTAATGTAATTCGATATCCGTAGTATAATTGTATATTAACTAGCCTTAGAGGGCGCTTCGCGGCCATCTTCTAAATTAATTGTGAACATGTTCTCTTTGTGTACATCGTAAAACAAAACAAAAATAATTCGCGGATTTTCACAAAAAATTTCGTGGATTTTCAAAATTTTAAAAAATTTAATGAAGATCGAATTTTGATGGAGACAAATATTTGAAATTTCGATCATTCATAAACCTTCCCTGTGGTCACGTGATGTCCCACAAAAAATTTGGGCCCGATCGGTTCAGCCGTTTTGACGTTTATTGGATACAAACAAACAGACAGACAAGCCAAATTTATAGATAGATGTGATAACTGAAATGAAGAGATTAAGCAAGCATTTATCCTCAATTTAAAAGTGCCCACAGTGGAAATAAAGATCAAGCAATCGGGATTGTTAGTATCTAACACAATAGTTCCCATGTATAGTGTTATGGTATGGTACTCAGTTGAACATGTACACAGCTTTTTTATATGTAAAGTGTAAAATGTAAAGTGTAAAGTGTGAAGTGTAAAATGTAAAGTGTAAAGTGTAAAGTGTAAAATGTAAAGTGTAAAGTGTAAAGTGTAAAGTGTAAAACGTAAAGTGTAAAGTGTAAAATGTAAAGTGTAAAGTGTAAAGTGTAAAGTGTAAAGTTAAGCAGCCTACCTGGTGGTTTTGATTTGGATTGGTGTCCACATCGTTCGGGTAAACTTTGGCCATGTTCTCTGCAATATCAACTTTGCATTTTTTTTTGTAATTTTGAGCTTCACTCAACGTTATTTTAAGTGAAACTCTATTTATAGCGTTGCATACCAAATTCACAACGATACTCTAAAACTTTCTAAAAAACTTTCTAAAAATTGATAATTTTGAATTTTGTCTTCTCTATTAATTTGGTTGGGGGCCTTTTTTTACTTGTCATCTTATATTTTTTTATATTTGTTTACAATCAATCTGGGAACTTAGGCTGAGAACTTTTGAATTGCAGGAGCAAGATAAACCTTTTCTCTCCTTGTCTTAATCCATCCATTAAAAAATTCCAAGCCTTGTTCCTGTGAAAAATGAAAGATTTATAATGATTTGCATTTTATGTAAGACTAGCTTGGGAACAAAGTAACTATGATTACCCTAATCATAGTTACTTCTGCCGTTTACCAGCACTTGGTCGACTTTACCGGGAAACTAAATTTTCGCATTAAAAATCGACCCACTCATCATTCCCGTTCTCCCGAGTTCCCTAATAAAAATTAAGGAATTCCTGAGTTATGATCTAACAAACAAACAAACAGACAGACAAATAGAGATTACAACTTTTTATTTATAGATATGGGTTTTATTAAGTTTGCAGTGAAATGCCAGGTCAGGGCCCTAATTTCAATATTTCAGATTTTACTGACAGTTTCTTTCAATTCTATCCAACCCATTCTGGACTAACCAGGGTGAGATGCGTTCGATTTCTTTAATTTGAACTTAAAATCACGTTTTAGTTTAAAATTCAACCATCTTTAAACTTACGGTCATGTATTTTTATGCTTTTTCATTTAAAACGCATACGCCGACAAATAATATAAAGGAGAAAGAACGAAAATTTTACGTTTAATTGTTATCAAAGTCACAGTTTGCTGAAAAAAAAACCAATATGTATCATCTACTCTCGGTCAAATTATAACCAATAGAAATTTAAAGGGGGTGTTCGCGAAAAAGGAAAGTGAGTATAGGCTTACGTCGAAAAATTTCGAAGATGATTGTTCATATCTCTTACTTCTATCTGTTGCGTCTATAAGGAGAAAATTGTTAAAAACGACTAATACTGAAGAAAGTAGCGTCCATACAAATTCAGAAAGTTCCAATATTCGACTTGGATCGTAAAAAATCAATTTAATTCCAAAAAAATCATTCACACATTAAATCCTTTAAATTCGACATATAGTTGATTTTCATAGTATTTTTAATTTTTTTATTTCTTATGAGCCTAGAGTTACTTTTGAAAAAATTCATGCCTGTTTCGAGAATTTTCGATAATGAAGACGATATTTTCATATTTTCCAAAAATTTTCGAAAATCCAGCGCCAACCATGAAAACTAGTTGTAAGCGAAATATTAATTTTAAAAAACTAAGTGAAAAATAATATAAAATATCAACTATATACGAGTGCGTCAAAAAAAATCGATGATTAAAGGTTGTAATATCTGAATGATTTGTTTGGAATTAAATTGATTTTTTTACAATCCGAGTCGGATATTGCAATTTTCTGAATTTTTATGGACGCTACATTCTTCAGTATGAGTCGTTTTTAACAATTTTCTACTTTAGATGCAACAGATAGAAGTAAGGTTAGAAGAAATCACAATCGAAAATTTTTCGAGGTAAGCCTATTCCCCCTTTCATTTTTCGCGAACACTCCCTTTAAACCCCCCAAGATTCAATGATAAACCTGCGGATGGATGGAATGTACATTCATCGCTCATTATTTTTCTGAAAGACCCAATCACGAAAACTTTCGTTCGTTCACAAAAACATGGCCCATATGTTACTGTAGTCGTACTTTAAAGTAACTCTCCATTTGTAATGTAGGGTGGCATGTCTGATTCTGATCAATCAATGAGAATCCATCATATTCTGATCAATGAATGAGAATCCATCAAATTTTCTTTGAAAATTGATTATTTCCAATTTGAGTTTCTCTACAAAAGTGACTTGTGGATATCTTCTGCATATCCAATCGGGAGAAAAAAACACAAATATATTATTGATCAGATAAAGGTTTAAAAGGTACCAGTGTGAATTGTAAATACCACTCTTTAAATAAAAGGTCACATTGAATTTAAAGAATTTCCCCCCCCTTCAATAGTTCAGAGCTTTAGACACAATAGCATAGCGAGCTGTTAACTCCACTGAGATTTAAATTGAACTAAATTAGAGTAGTAGAATCCCACTTAAGAAACCAGTGAATATTCGGGTATTAATAGATAGATATATAGATAGATAGCTTAAAATATATAGAAATATAAAGATTGATAGATAAATTGATAGATAGCTTAAGAAATAACTATATAAAGATTGATAGATAAATAGATAGATAGCTTAAGAAATAAAGATATAAAGATTGATAGATAAATAGATTGACAAACTTAGATGCTAGATTCATTATTTCTTATTTAGATATTTAATTTACAATTAATTTTTTTTCGAAAATGAATATAACAAAACTTAAATTCTAAAAATTCTTAAATGTCAAAATTAAATTTTAAATTTATCTCTGATATCTGGTATGTAATTTAAAAATTTTTTTTTTATTAAACTACAAAGCAAGAAATATTACAAAAAAGCAATCACTATTACTTTGTAGTTTGTAAACCTAAGCTCCCTAAAATCAAAAACCTTAAATCTCTGATGTCGGATATAGAATCTTAAGTCTTTTGCATGTGGTATAGAACCTTAATTCTCTGTTATCTGGCAATTGATATGAATCCTGTGATAACTAGTTTATAACTTGAAACCTATGATATGTATGTAACCTAAAATCTCTGATATCTTATATGTAACCTGAAATCTCTGATATCTTATATGTATCATGAAATCTCTGATATATGGTGTACAACCTAAAATCTCTGATATCTTATATTTAACCTGAAATCTCTGAAATCTTATGTGTATCCTGAAATATGGTGTATAACCTGAAATTTTCTGATACATGGTATATAACCTGAAATATCTGATATCTTATAAGTTAACTGAAATATCTGAAATCTTATTTGTAACCTAAAATCTATGTATCATGAAATTTCTGATATATGGTGTGTAACCTGAAATTTCTGATACATGGTATATAACCTGAAATCTTTGATATCTTATATGTATCATGAAATCTCTGAAATCTTATATGCAACCTGAAATCTCTGATAAAAATCTCTGATATCTAATATGTATCCTAAAATCTCTGATATCTAATACGTATGTAACCTGAAATCTCTGATATCTCATATGTATCCTAAAATCTCTGATATTTAATACGTATGTAATCTGAAATCTCTAATATATGGATGTGTAATCTGAAACCTCTGGTATCTTGTAATTAACCTGAAATCTCTAATATCTGGTAAATAACCTGAAATGTCTGATATATTTTCTGTTATCTGAATGTGAGCTATTATCTGTTATCAGATTGTTTCTATACAGCAGAGTAAAAAAACCAGTTTGGCAGTTTCTAAGCCGTGGATTTTATTGTAATAAATATGATTTAACGCCAGATTAAAAAGACAGCCAATCAAATCTTTAATTGCATTTTTCCTCTCAGAGGCACTGGGCACTGCGTTTAAAAAAAGGCAAGTTTAACAAATTTTATTTGTTTTTATTTTGAACTTTGATCACTTAAAACTTTAATCCATTCAAAAGAAACAGAAAAGTAGAGAGTAAAAGGGGCAATCAACATTATTTAATTTATTCTTCATTTAATGAGATTAATTCAGTTCCTTCATTCAAACCTTTAATATCTGAATAACAATGAGATTAAGATATCGTCGATTTTTTATCTTAAAAAATAAACCGGTTTTGTAAAGTTTCTTTCTTTTTCTGCTATAAATCCGCAAGCAACTTTGGTAGAGAATCGTCAATTAAAATTTAAAATTTTTATATTCAGGGTTCGGAATTTACACTGTCTGTTTTCTTATATTCCTAACTCCCTGCAACTGTAAACAGGTTTTCCTCGTTGCAAAATCATAAAGTAAGCCCTTAAAAGACTATATTCGAGGCAGATGATTTAAGTCAACCTAGAAATCGTCATATTGGGAGAGTTTCGGGTCGTTATTTCAGTCTCATCCTTTGTGGGTGGGTAACCCTGTAGGAAAATAAAGATATTTCTCAAATTTTGGCTCAGGAAAAGATGTAACGCGTCGAAAGTCGGGCATTTAACTTTTAAAATTTTGTCAACAATTTCTTTAAGTTTAAACTTTTTTTTGTTTGCATGTTTTTAGTTGTATGTGTTTTGATAAAGATTGGAGGATAAAGGTTCAAGATGAGAAGTAGGAGGGGGGAAGGGGGAAGGAGAGAAGGGGGAGGGGAGAAGGGAGAAGGGGGGATAGGACGGTGAGGGCACAAAACCTTTTTAGCAAATTATATTCTTCAACCTTCATACATTCTTCCATCCTTCAACCTTCATACATCCTTCCATCTTTAAACCTTCATATATCCTTCCAACCTTCAACCTTTTATATATCCTTCCAACCTTCAACCTTCATATATCCTTCCAACCTTTAACCTTTATATACTTTACACCTTTCCATCCTTCAACCTTCATATATCCTTCCAACCTTCAACCTTTATATACTTTCCATCCTTCCATCCTTTAATCTTCCAATCTTCATACATACTTCCATACTTCCATACTTCCATACTTCTTAGGTGCATATTCCTAGAGTTCTCATCAATCAAATATAAATTCAGTACAAAGTACAAATCTTAAAAGAAAGCTTTTCGCTCATATATATTGTTTATTATAGCTGGCCAAACGTGTGGACCAAATGTGCAGATTTGTTTAGGGAATCCATGGGTACCCTGGGGGTTATATAGGCAATTAACCAATTAGAATTTTTCAAATTTTTCTAAAAAGTATTTTTTAAACATGGGGCAAAGCCGGGTACTGATTTCTGATATTGAAATCTTCTAAAACACAAGTTTGGAAACTTTGAAGTAAACGGAGAGAGCTTTCTCTCAACCTTTTTTACAGGCCACAT